GGGGGGGGGGGGGCCTTTCCCCTGTGCAGTCAGGGGAGAAGCGGGGGAGGCATCACTTGGTTCCTGCGGGCTCTGTCTGCCTCCAGCGCCTGGCTGGATCAGAGCCTGGCAGCTTGTGGACCAAGTCCCCAGGATCCCCTTAGCTTGCATGGATGCATTGCTTTGGAGGTGAGGCTCTTACGCGGCTGGAAGGTGAGAGATTGTGCATCAGGGCTGCTTTTTTATTTGAAATAATGCTACTCATCATCATCATAGTTCTATTTAAACTCTCTACTTCTGTTCAGCTGGATCCCCCAAGCTCCTCACTCCACCACACAGCTAGATCCATCTCTATTTAAGCGGGGCGAGCCCGGTTCGGATTGAATCTCGTGCTGGCAGAGATTTTGGTTCTGACCTGAGCTGAAGTGCAGCGGGAGAGAAGGAAGGGGAGGAGGGGTGGAAAAAAGACGATCCTGTTGCAGAGGTTCCAAGGAGATGCCATCTGCACAGGACAAGGAAACTGCATTACGCTTTGTCCAATCTAATGCTGCTCTTCCCCACGTCTCCCTCCGTATATTTAAGCATGTTGTCAATCTCCAAGATGCCTTGAAGACATGTGAGGCTGCCTGGAGTGGAGCCCTCGTGAAGTTTCCAATTGCCCCACTCCTTCCAAAAAAAGTGCTCGGAGAGTTGTCTCTGGCTGAAAGAATGGGGTCTCGTGGAGATATATTTAGCAGGAGCACTGCAAGTAAACTAGCAAACATGACAGAGTCAACATTTAATATTTATTAATTGTCGTCTTAGGACGCTTGTTAATTACACTTTTGAATCAAATCACAACTGACTGCTGCTCTTAGCGCGTCAAATGAGTATCCTGGTGCATTTCACATCAGATCTCAGTTCTGGTGGAAATTTCCACTTGGAGGAATACTTAAAATATTCAACTGAATGCGAGTTTAGGGGGTTATTTTGGAGGGGGAATGGAGATGTTACTCTCTCTCTTTTTAAATATATACCGATGCATGCAGTTTGTTTATTATTTATTTATTTATTTACTTTAAAGACGATCTCTCTAGCTTGTAAGCCCCCCCGCCCTCCCCCCACTTTGCTAATTTCTGGTAAGTTTCTTAGCACGTCTGTTTTGTTTTCTATCGCCAGCACTTCCTGGATTTCACTCTTGAAAAATAGCGTCAGAGACATTTCAGGGAAAACAAAAATGAGATGCCAGGGTTAGGGTTTTCAAATCTATTTTTTTCTTTTTTTTTTTCTTTTCTTTTTTTCTTTTCTTTCTTTTTTTTGATGCAGTCTAAAATGCACGTTGACTTTGGGGTGGAGGTAAAACCAAGAAACTTTGTGCAAATGATCACAGCAAAAACAACTCTGATTTAAAAAAAAAAAAAATTACATCCGTGTAAGAAACTGTCTTTTTTTTTTTTAACTTTTGCATATCATTTGACATAAATATTTATTAATCTTAATTAAACTGAACAGAAACACAAAAAGCACTTCTGGTGTCTGATAGACATTTTCAACTTTGCTACAGTTGTTTTATTAATTTTTTTGTAATTTTTTTTCTTTTTTTAAAACATTTATCAGAAATTCTTTTCCTCCCTTTATTTAAAAATGCTGGTATGTTTAAAGGTGATGTAGGCAGGTTTAAAAATATTATTTTTTTTACAATGTCTCCTGATTTAAATAATGCATTAAAATTGGAATAAATAAAAAGGAAACAAATTCGAACAATGCACAAAAAATATACCAGGATATAGCAGTTTGGGACTGAATGTCATATTTTTATACGGGTGTATTCATTACACAAATGTTTTCCCCTTCTTCCCCCAAAATGCATTACATAAAGAAATAACTTAAAGAGTACTCATTATAGGAAAAATAGCCAACTAAAATATATAGCATATTAAGTGCTCTCTTCACACCACCTTTTATAATTTGCATATTTGCATTTTTTTTCGCTCCTACCCATGCATAACAAAACATCTTTTGCCATTTCATAAAAATCTTTTTTTTTCCTTTTTTAAAGTTTTTAAAACAGGTAAAAAACATTATGACACACAATTTGGAAAATAAGTTACTCGTGGTTACAAGGGTGTCCAAAAAGCTGAAGTCACTGATTGTTAATAACGAAAGGAACCTCGCCATTCAGTTCCCTTCAAATCAAAAAGTGCACCTTTTTTTTTTTTTCTTCCAACAAGTCGCTTGGTCCATCGGGATTCTTTTAATGGTTTCCTTTTCTAGTTCAGTACCTACTTGCATAGATATATATATAGATATATATTAATCTTCTGTTTGCCTCTTTATTGCTTCTAAGAGTTCTTACTGCATTGAAAGGCTGATTTGAAGTTGCAAACATTTTTTTAATTACACTTCCATGGGATATTTTTCCCCCTTAGTCTTATTTTATTTTATTTAATCGTTGGAAAGAATAGAGAACGCCCCCTTCTGAGCTGCCCCTTTCTAAAGGCATTTTGAATTTGGAGAGTAAGAGAGAGAGAGTGAGAGAGAGAGAGAGAGAGAAACACAAGGAATAAAAATGATCTGGCATTGTTAGGAATTTACTTTGATGTGTGGCCAAAAGAGACCCTTCAGTCGAAGAGAAAGTTTTCTTCCCTTCTCCCATAGATATATATAGCTGTAGACTGGTTTACTGTAAACCTTTCACCCTGTGTGGTGGGGAGGAAAGGTGGGGGGAATCAAAATCAGTTGGGCTTGATAATTCTCCAATTTTTTCGCCCTAAAACTTTCTTTCCACGTGGCCCCAATAAACGATATTTCAATCCACTGGAAACCTGAAGGCTAGCTTTTTTTTCTTTTCTTTTTTAATAATCAGCATCATCATCATAAAAATACATTATATATATATATATATTGCACCAAAGTAATTTTTGTTTTTTTTTCTTCCATGTATACACTGTTCTGTTCTGGGTGACAAGTTCACAGATAGACTTAGCACGGTCTAAATTGGGGGGTTGTGCGTGCGTGCGTGCGTGTATGTGTGTGTGTGTATGTGTGTTACAGGGAGACACCTAACATCGTACTTTCACAGTTCTGGGGGTGGGGGAGAAGAAGAAGAAGAAGAAGAAGAAGAAGAAGAAGAAGAAAAAGGAACATTTAAAACCTAGAACAGAATGGGAATGAGCTGGGGGTGGGGGTTGCTATGTGCAGTGGAGGTGGGGGAGGGGAAGGGGATTTCAGAGCCCACGGTGGCGGGGGTGTTAATTATGGAAAAACGCGTTGAGCTCCTCGTACATGGGGCCTCGCTCGTGGTGGAGATGCATATCGTAAGGCAAGATGTTCTCGGAGTGGACTCCACCGCGCATCCCCGAGGAGCCAAAGACCAAGTTGTGGCCGGAAGGGCGGGAGCTGGGGAGGGCCGAGTAGTGCATAGAGTAGTGGTAATTTTTCTCGTGATCCGGGGAAGAGTCTTGCTTGAGGGAAAAATTGCCATTAATGCACAGTGGAGGGCTCAGGGGGCCGTCGTACTCAGAGCTGTTGTAGTCTGGAGACGCGTTCCCGTACAGGGTCTCATAGGTGGCGCAGTACGCGTGTGTCCTCAGGGCATGGGAGCTGGCCATGGTGCTGGACTGACACTGCGCGCCGGACAGCCGCGAGCACTGGTAGGTGTAAGGGTGCATGGCAAAGGAAGAGTTGGGCCCGTGGTACCTCCCGGCCTCCTGGCCCTGCTCCGTGAGAAAATTCCGCGAGTTGAGCTGGAGGCAGCCGGCCACCAAGTTGGTGGTGGGTTGGGACAAGCCTTTGCACAAAGTCTGCACGTAGGAGACCAGGTCGGGCCGCTTGCCCGAGCGCAGGATCTCGGAGAGAGCCCAGATATAGTTCTTAGCCAGCCGGAGCGTCTCGATTTTGGACAGTTTCTGAGTCTTGGAGTAGCAGGGCACGACCTTGCGCAGGTTGTCCAGCGCCGCGTTCAGGTCGTGCATGCGGTTGCGCTCCCGCGCGTTGGCTTTCTGGCGTCGCAGTTTGGAGCGCTCCAGCCTGGCCTTGGTCATCTTGCGCTTTTTAGGCCCGCGTTTCTTGGGCCGATCGCCTTCGGCCTCCTCCAGGCCTTCCTCTTCCTCTTCTTCCTCCTCCTCGTCGCCTCCTATGTCGCCTTCCTCTTTGTTTTCGCCCAGGGACCCTTCCGTCTGCTCCTCCTGGAGGGGGCAGCTTTTACCTTTGCGCTCCTCTTTCTCGGGCCTCTCATCGTCTTCGCAGTCGTCGGCCCAACTGGAGAATTTCTGCACCTCGGGGATCAAGCTGGGCTCGCTGAACAGTCTCGTCAACATGATGGCTGGAGAGGGGGAGCGGGGGTGGGGGAGGGGAGGGAAGCAAAAGGCAGAGGTATGATCCCCCTTTTCTCTCTCTCTCTCTCTCTTTTTTAATTTTTTTTTTTTTGGCCCACCCTCCGCACTTCCCCCCTCCCCGCCCCTGGTCCTGGCTACAGGCAGCTCCATCTCCCTCCCCAGTTTCCAGGAGCCTGGGACGCGCCGGTCTGGTACCCACGCCCGCACCCGCTCGCTCCTTCTTGCTCGGCGCGATCAAATGATGAGGAAATTAAATTTGGGGAAGGAGGAGGGAAAAAAGACAGACATTGTCACAAGTGGGCCGGGGTGGGGGGAAGCCTGCGGCGATCACCGTCCGGGAGGATCTCTCCGCCCGAGGCCCCGATCCCAACCTACCCTGGCTCCGAAACGGCCTGCCCCGCCCGGCTCCTTCGCCCAAACCAGCGATCGGGTCTTTTCCTTTTTGAATGAGAGGCGCCCCCGCCCCCCAGCCCCAGCCTCAGCCCCCGGGCGCTTTGTGCGGGGAGGCAGCGGGGGGAGGGGGTGGTGGAGGGCACGACGCGGGGCAGAACGGGGAAGAGATTGTTTTTTTCCTCGTAAAACCAATCGAGTCGTTTAAAAGTGTGATTAAAATTAATTGGCTTTCCCATCGCCTTCTGACGGGGCCCGCGCCGCCGCGCCTGGCAGCACTGGCAGGTCGGGGAGCATTGGTTATCGGCTCCCTACATCTTTCCGCGGGTTTGTTTTTTCTTTGGTGCGGGGCAGAGGGCGATGGTGGAGCGGGGTTTCCTGCCCCTCGTGTCCCATCTACGGGGGTGAGTTTCAGCACCCGGCGCCCAGCTCGGTGCCTGGTCAGGTTCATCCCTCGCCTTCACGCGCCGGGGGAGACTTCACCGCGCAGCCTGCGCCTCTCCCCCGCTCTCAGTTTCGGAGCCTTTCTCTCGCGGCCCAAGCCACGCTCAAAGACGCTTTCAGCTCTTCAACTTTTCCTTCCGGGAGGCTAAAACCAGACCCGATTTCCCTCCCTTCCCACCCCTAGCCCCTTCCCGCACCTTGAGACAGGCGATTAGCTCTGGAGGAGAAGGAATAACTTTGCCGTCTCCCCGCAGAGCATGAGGATCGGCCCCAGCTGCTCCCCGGGCTGGCATTTCCTGACCTTCCTTTTTTCCTCACACCCCACATATTCTCCCTCTCTAGCTGTTATGCAGCGAGACGTAATTCACACTCCAGCTGCGGTTTAAGATCAAGCCCCCTCCAAGGCTGGCACTAAAAATAAAATCAATACAAATACATCCGCTTCACAGGGTTTTTTCCCCCACCCCTTTAAAAAAACACAAATGAATTAAAAATATCCATCCCCACCCCCCCCCTGGATCGCGGCCATTCCAGGTACAGGAACGTGCTTCTTAAAACTACTGACTTTGTATCCTGGTCAGATTTACCTCCGGCTACAACGAGCAGAGACATCTCGGCGTATTTTTGCAAGATAATCTCCCTGCGAGAATCTTTAACTGGAGCGCGGCGACTGAATAGCGGGGTCTCCTGTCAATTTCCTTAGCTCTGTCTTTTGTGTGTGTGTGTGTGTGTAAGTGAGTGTGTGTGTGTGTGTGTGTGTGCGCGCGCGATTAAAAAAAAAACCTGCAAAAATTAAAGCTCGAGTCTTCTGATTTTTAAGCCGTATCCCCCCATTTTTTCCTTAAAAAAAAATCTTAGGCTCATCTTTGTTTCACCCTAAATGTGTAAATAAATAGATCTATTCCTCCCACCCCCTCCCTTAATGGGATCACAGCTGGAAGAGAGTTTATTCGCTATATTTTAAATTTGAGAGCTATTATCCTCGATCGGGAAGATTTAGGTAGCTTCGGCCCCCGGGAAAAAAAAACCCCGGAAAAAAGCCGAACTTAAAAAAAAATAATACGCCCGTTGTGGAGGAGAGAGGGGGGAAAATCAACATGGAAGTTGCTTTTTATCCATTCAAGTTTCTATTCCCCCCACCCCCCACCCCCCTGCACTTCTTACATAACTTACCTTCAAAGCTAACTGGAGGAATTCTTATTTCATTGTTCGCAGCATCTTCTGGGAGTAAGGCAATGCTCCTTAAGGTGCTACAGCCTCCTTCAGTGTGCTATCCAAAAGGAGGAGAGTGTGGCATCTCCAAGCAAAGGGGTACCAGCTCTGATGCCAATGCCATATGGTTGGCACGTCATCCGCAGGAGCTATCACATGAGAGCCAGTGATTGACATGCGCCTGCATTCAGGGAGATTTGTCTCTCAGGGGAAGGAGGACTCGCCATCTGTCACTCTGTACTCAAAAAAAAAAAAAAAACCCACAAAAAAACCCCCTCAACTCCAAATCTACAGATCTGCCTATTCGCTGCAAAATGAGACTCCTGACAAGATGAACAAGATAGCTGCGCTCAGGCTGAACAATGGAACACAGGGATCGGGGACAAGTCAGGCTGGGAGAGAGACAGACAGCGCAGCACTACCTCGGAATGTGTGTGCATGGGGAGGGGGCAGGATTGTGGCTGCACTGGTGGGGGGGAGTGGGGAGTCACAGAGGGACCCTGATCTGGCTCAGGCATCTGTGCTCACTCTGCGAAAATAATAAGCAGAGCTCCCAGCCCTCACCCACCAGCAGAAAATAGATTGGGTGGGGGGTGGAAGCAATGGCTCCATCGTGGGGCAACGGGGGAGGGTCCTGCTCTCATGTCACACCTAGGCAGTCCAAGCCAGAGCCAGGTGCTAGGCAAGGTGCAGGGCGGGGGCTCTCCCTTCTGCTTCTGCTTCAGTCTCCACAGAAGCTAAAACCGGCTGGTGAGTGGGGAGGGGTAAAACCGAGGAGTGTCCCCCACCAAGCTGTGCAGGGTTAGGGGCTGGGGGAATGCATGGGCATTTGCTCATACTGTGTTCAGCCACTGCCTGCCCCCATGTTGATACACACATACATCTCAGATCCAAGAGCACACAGCTGTACCCTTCTCTCTGACACCCACCCTGACCTCTCACTTCTGTTCCCACCACACCTCTGAGCCACACATGCCTTATGCCCTCTCCTCCACACCCTGGATATGCACAACCCCAGCCCTTTCTCTGTCTCACATATGCAAACACGCATATTTCTGTCACACATAAATACACCCCCTGTCTCTCATGTGCAAACACCCCCCCACACCTCTCACACATGCACACACCACTACACAACTGCAACTCACATCTACCTCTCCCCTATACTCACATGAACAAGTAAATACCCCCCTTTCTCTCTCATACACCCCCTTTCACATGCATAAACACACATAAACACACCCCGCTCTTGTACCCAAACACATCCCATCCCTGTCCCTTTCTTTCACACACCTTCTCATACATGTGACTGATCTCACAAGCTAGAAGCATGGTCCTATTCATTTGGACTTTCTCCCTAAGCACCCACATCCCATCAAGAGTGGAGAACAACATGCAGTCCTGCATTTAAAAGAGAGGGGCCCTCATCTACATCAGCCATGATTCCCTTCCAGGCACTGCTGTCCCTGATCCCTGAGCCCTCCCAGCTTTTGCCCAGAATACATGCCAGGTTGCCTTCCTCAGCCCTGCCACGGAGTCATGCTTGCCGGCTCAGGCGCCTGCTGCTGAAATTTCAATGGTGTTTGCAAACTTGCAGCGGGTAATAGCAGGGTAATGGTGGATGCCCACAATGGGGCATCATTAACGCGTGTCTCAATCCATCCCCATTCTTTTCAGCTGAACACCAGCCATTAATCAAACGTCCCCTGGGCCTGTTTTTTCTCTCCCTCTCTTTAAACAAAAGTGACCCACTAATAAGCCTCTCTGGGTTATCGATAGGAATTAAACTGCATGTTAAGGAGGACTGTGCTCCTGTGTTTGGAAGTTTCATATAGAGATAGTGATGTTAAAGTTAGCTTGGCTGGGGTGTGGCTTCCTGCCCAGGCCATTCCCCAAACAAAGCCTGTGTGAAAAAAGAGCAGAAGCTGAATGAAGCTGATCATATCCAGTTGCTTTCTTGGTGCTTTCACTGGTGCCTGTTGGGATGTGGTTCAAATCAGCCCTTCTTCGTCACTGTCCTTCCCTCACTCTGGAGAGATCCTAGGGCCTGGCCAAGAGACATCATTGGAATGAGGCCAGAGGAGAGCAACAGAAGTGATTAGAGATGTAGAAGACAGGTGGGGAGGTGGGGAGACTGGGGTGATTTCATCTGGAGAAGCCTGAGGGGGGGCTTGATAACAGTCAAAGGGTTGTTATAAAGAGGATAGTGAGCAGCTCGCTCTCTGTTCCCAGGGGACAGGGCAAGTGATAGGCTTAAACTGGAACAAGGGAGATTTAGATTGGATTCTAGGAGGAACCCACTAACAAGGATGATGGTTCAGCACTCGACCAGATTCCCTAGAGAGGTGGTGGAGTCTCTGTCACTGGAAGTTTTGAGTGCAGGTTAAATAGACATTGAGCTGGGATGGTTTGGACAGGGCTGATCCCGCCTTGAAGAGGAAGGCCCCTAGGTCATCTCTCTGATGTGATTCAAAAGCCCCCTGGCTTAATCACTCAAGTCCTCCTGAGGTATTCTGGTACTCAGACTGGTCTCTCAGATACTGGCACGGAGCCAGTAATGACAACATGGCACTCTGGTCCCCACTTTTTGCTCATATCTGGGGTTTATCCCCAACATTTCAAAGACCTCACTCCTTTGTCCCAGCAATGGCAGAATCCCACATAAGATGCTCACACAGTCTTCTCTCAGCATTGGTGGCTGCCATGAGACCCATGGTGGATCCAAACTGATTACCTCACAGGGCCAGGGTCCAGTTCCCAGTGGGTCCCAAGGGCATCCATGAAACACAAAGTAGACGTGGGAGAAGAAGGACCTATCCTGATTACATATCTGTGTGCACCCATGTGCACACATGGACACACCATAGCTCGGTGAGCTTGGAGGAACCTGAGTGCCCTTATGGCAGTTATACTGCTGGCATTTGCACAAGTCAAAA